ACTATTGCATAAACTTTTTGAATAAGTGTGCAGCATTTAAGAATGTTCTGTCCCTTGCACAAGAACATTCGGTGATAGTGAATATATATCGAGCATCGAGGCTTGGATGACCATCAATTATAGAAATGATTATAAAGTTGATATTCTCACAGATAAATTACATATTCATAGACATGTGAAAAGTACATCAATTTCAAATTTCATGGAGCTTGCTACAAACAAATGTGAGAGGAGAAAATTGAATGATTTCTATTCAATATTAAACAATCGAAACATACTCCTCGGAATAGAAAAACTCACCTTGAATTATTGTTCCTAACAGTTTTCGCATTGCCAAATGCTTCAAGAACTGGATTGGACTGGGAGGATATAGAAAGAAATAAACATCACAGGCTTCAATTATGAGAGTGACAGTAGTTCTCTATTATGCATAGTAAAAAGATCCTTATCTTACTTCCAGGACTTGTTGTTCAACTGTTCGTCCTTCCACTCCAGATCGGCCTCCAAGGTATGCAAGGTACCGCATGAGCATCTTCGTGGTCTCAGTCTTACCAGCACCACTTTCTCCACTAACTAGAATTGAATTGCTTTTTCCTTCATTAATCATTGCCCTACAATGGACAGAAGAAGCTAGTTAAGCCAAAACGGTGGAGGAAACGCACGGTTAACTACATTTTCCACCTAAATCAAAGTTATATTGCCACCCAAATTCTAATGGAAGAAACGAAATACACGCCTTTGTAAAACCTTGCTAACCCATAACAAAAATTTAGATTCTACGAATATTAACAAGTAGCAACGAACAGAAGTTTTTGTCAAACTTCATTCTTTTCGGTCTTTTTTCCATCAAGTTTATGACGGTGTGAGAATGCATGCATGGAAGCATTAGTAGATGCCCGACAAATTAATCTAAGATCACAACTAAACCAAGAAATCATAGGCTTCACGACAACTAAAGGATAAAAAAGTTTATTGAATTGTTACTTAAGCTACTTAAAAATTTCGAAACTAATGAGTAGTCCCCATCTGTTATCCCACATGTAATAGCTCAAAGTCACCGCTAGCAGATATTGTCATCTTTGGGCTTTCTCTTCTAGGCTTCCTCTCAAGGTTTTAAAGCGCGTCTGTTAGGGAGAGGTTTCCATACCCTTACACAAGGAATACTTCGTTCCCCTCTCCAACTGATGTGGGATCTCACATCCACCCCCTTGGAGGCCCAGTGTCCTCGCTGGCACACCACTCGATGTCTGGCTCTGAAAGACGCGTTTTAATAACCTTGAGGGAAAGCTCAAAAGGGAAATCCCAAAGAGGATAATATCTGCTAGCGGTGGACTTGGGCCGTTACACCGCATCTATCCCCCGTTCCTAAAGAAAATCCAAAATAAGAAAAGGAAGCTTACCTGTATGCCACTTCAGCAACTGCAAAGACATGAGGACTTAGTTCTCCAAATCCAGCTCCTTTGTATTGTTCCATCATGTGAGTATCATACAGATGGGGTAATCTTTGGAATGGATTTATGGCAATAAGTATATTTCCAGTGTATGTCTGCAAGGATGTTAAAGGTATGATATGCAATTTATACAAATCTCCGTTATCTGGAAATATTCTTACTGTATTCACAAAGAGAGGAGATAATGATTTCCTACATAGATTTCATTGAGTTCATATCTGGTAGCCAAGTTGCTCAGAACTCCAGGTTCATGCAAGTATGACAACTTTGTCATGTCATCGACACCTGCAGCAGGTGCTTCGGTATCCTTGGGGAATATTTTTGATATATTTGCAACAACCTGCAATCAATAGTCAAGTATCAGTCTAATGGGCCCAGCTTCGATCGTCATTTCAAGAAAAATTATTGAACCAAATCAAATGCACATGCACGAATTGTCATACTATTGACCTAAGAAGCACATGTACAAATACGAGATATGAATACGACACAACATGGACATGACAACATGTTCTTTTTTAAAAATCTAGGATACGGACATGACCCGACACATTTATTAAAAAGTCAATAAGTTTATGGATTTATATGCTTGAAAAATGAGTTTGATGTATTTCGTTCTCAGGCTATATTATTTTTGTCCTATATCATTATGTGCCTATTTAGTTTACTTTGTGCAGCTAATGTGTATCACGCATCTATTGTGCTAACAAGTGTTCGTTATTCCTTAAATTTAGCATTGAAACATGCTGACATGAATATTAATTCATGAGCTGAGTGCATGACTCACCGTCTTCCCATTTGTAGTCCGGACGTGAATTTCCTCTCCATTGATACGAAAAACTTCACCATCAATCCATGCTAGTTTTGGATCTTCAATCCAGACATGAGAACCAACAATGATGTTAACTGGTCCACTCTGCTTACAGAAACGTGGTAAAAGGCATATTAGTGTTCGAAGAGTAGTAACATTCAGTTCAATAAACATATGCAATCGAAAAGACTATCATAAACATAATTTTTACTTCATCCTAATATAAATCAACAGAGGTATCTAGAGCATGAATTTCACAAAAGAAAAAAAAAGAAGATACTTTATCTTCATAAATTGCACTTGGGTGAAACTCTCTTAATTATTTTCTCCTCTTCTCTACTTTTCACTTTTCAATTCTTGTCATCAATACACACACGAGCACTCGCAATGCATAAGAGATAACAAGTAATACCCAAGTAATCATATAGTTAAAGATGGAACATGTCGTAGAGACGATGATCATAAGAACGAATTTATGGCAACAACACCAGGAAGAACTCTAATAGCAATCATAGCTCGATGACAAATGATAACTATAAAATTTTAGCACATTCCAACTTAACAAAACTATTAGGTTATAAACCATAAAGATTGAGTTCCATTGAGACCACTAAAAGAGTATTATATCAACATCGCTCAAGAATCCTACCGTTTATATGAATCAACGCTTACCTGAACCTAACTCTAAATCAATCACTAGGTACGTTAGTCGAATATTACACATTTGGATGAAAAGGCTTGAAAAATGGCACAAAGTAAATGATTGTCACAAGTCAACAAAACACCAACAACCATTTGATTTACAAGCCAATTCAAAATACCGATCGAAATAATCACTTCGTTTATTTGCACCGAACCGAAAAATCGGCCGAATTGGCTGTTCTCTTTCTTATTATCCAGAGGTATTCCATATTACAATCTAGCGTATTCAATTTAAACTCATAGTTGGAAATGTCCCTGATGTTAATCCCTAATCTGGAGGAGTAGAAATGAAACCATCACGGATTAAGAACATAGTTTGAGCTCAAAAAAATGGCGTCAGAACCACATTCCATTGAAAACTCCACCCAATAGTACAAGTTCAAAGTCCAAATTCAACTTTATTCTCAAAAAAAAAAACGAAAGCAGCATGCTATCCAACCAACATACAAAGAATTCAAGTCAAAATGGTCATAAAGCCGAGTAAATCCAGCAAATTACAACGTCAACAAAACAAATATCAATCATTTCATTGACGTTACCATGGCGATTATGAACGGCGATCTTCCGTGTTAACTCATCCAAGACAGAAAGGAGTCAAAAGGAACCAAATACTCGACGACCCAGATCGGACAAAACGCACAAGTACCCACAAAGCTTCACCAGCTGATATAGCCAAAAACAAACCCACAAGAGCTGGAGTTCGCAAAAGGGTATCAATAAAATCCCCTCAAAAGAACTTCCTCCGCCGCAAACTCATCCGAAACAAACGGAACCAGACACGGAAAGCTAGATCGGATTGAAGCAGCTGAAGGGTAAGAAATGGAATACCAAATATCGACAAAACAAATACAGAAGGTTGAATTGGGAACTTAAAAGAAGGCGATAAACAGAGAGAAAGGAAGAAAACAAAGCTGCCGCGAAGTTTTTTTTGTTGTTCTTCCTTCTTTTCTATGTGGGTTACCCTTTTTTTTTTTTTCCCAAAGCTTCTGGTTCTGAGGTGAGATTGTTTTGTTTATAAACTAAGGCGAAAAGGTTGAAGCAATTCCTTTGGGTGTGAAGGGGGTTTCTCTCTCTAGGCTGTGCTGTAAGATTTCTCTCTCTAAAAGTTAAAATTTTTTTGTTCAATTTGATTTTGGGGAGTATTCTGTTTGTTGGGTTTGTGAGATGGTGGCGTTGGTATAGAAGAGAGGGCTGCTGGTTAGTTCAACATTCGTGGCCTCCGTATACCGTGTGTCTCAATTAGTCATTATTATGCTCTAAACCCGACATTAGAGAGCTAATCAAGGAGGCTATGGTTTTTGCCCTTGTTTTTCCTTTTATTTACGTCAATTGCCATCGCAGCTTCTTGGGTTTTTACCGCCGCCACCATTGGCCGTTTTACCTGACGTTAAAATTCAATTATTTTTGTAATAAATTTGTTTTTTTTATATATTTAACCACTTACTTTGTTAATAATTTCTACTTGTAAGTTATAATAAACTGAATTTAATTTAACTAATATGAATTATCTACCCAACCGTTAGTGGTTTGAATTTTAACCGTCCATAACCACTTTTCTTGGTCTTCTCTAGTTGAACTGATGTTAGCCGTCTAAACTTTGATTTTAAATTTTTGAACACTCGATTTCGATAGCCGGCTTTTCTCTATTTATTTGATTTTTGATGGAGGAAGCGACAAAAGTTTTGAGAATTCAAGAGAAGGTCACGACAAGATGAGCCGTTTATCATCACGATAGGGCAGGACATGTATATCTCGATAGTAGTCGTGGCATACCTTCCGGATCGAGGGTCCCCCGATAAACACAATATAGGCAAAATACCAGCGGGGGAGGAGGCCCTTTCATGTTGTTCTTACTTATAAATGAGAGTGTTTCATAGTGGGTTGTATTACGGGTCTCAAAATGAAAAGTTTTCGTTAGGATTGCTATGTTTGCATCCCTTTTAATCGAAGTTGCCTCATGCACGACCGTCGTATTGATGGATCCGATTGCATAATCTCCCAAGGAAGTCCCCTAAATAAGGTTCTAAAGTCTAGTGTATTAACATGTCTATAGCCCTTTTCATTATTCAGTCTGGCTTCAAAGTTTTGGTGCGCTTCTTTCTCCTGTAATAAAATTTGGGGTCCATTGCCCTTGATTCCAAATCTAGGTAGCAAATGAACGCTGATAACAAGTTGGCAACAGAATAATGTCGCTGATTCATGACTAAAAAGACAAGCAACTTGACATAGAAGTAGAACGAATATTAGTGTGGGCAACAGCTATGGATGAAGCGGTGGCACCGATTGCTTTCTAGAAAACTACTCATTGTCCTTGCCTCCCTGCATCTGTCTGCTTCAAATGTAATCGTACAGGGAGATACTCTTGTCATCGGATACACTAGCCTGTCGCCCAGCCTCCACACCAGCCCCATCGGATACTCTTGTTGACTCTGGCAAATCGGATGTCGACGAAAAAATTGGCCGAAGGTTTCTTCGAAGGAAAAATTAGCGGAAGTAAAAGGAGAGAGAGAGAGAGATTCGCTGGTAATGCTGAAGACTCGATATCTTTATTTTACATCCGTTGAATGGTTTAAATAATAAATCTAATTACAAAAATAGAAAAACTAAATATACAAAAATAGAATAAGTGGACGAAGACTCCGCCACTCTGCCAAAACAATGGCCCCTAGAATCACGCTCCTCCATTCGCGTGAACTCATATGTTTTGACAAACCTAACTAAATAAGGCAGAGCTTTTATTTAACAATCTCCTCCTAAAAGCTGTACCTTATTATTTGAACTCCGATCTTTGAGCGTAGTTCTTCAAATTTCACCCGCGCCAGGGATTTGGTGAAAATGTCTCCAAGTTGTTCCTCTGTTCGGATGAAATCAATTTTGATGAGCCCTCGATCTGCACATTCTCGAATGTAGTGGAATCTGGTTTCTATGTGCTTGCTCCGGTCGTGCAAAACTGGATTTTTGATCAGGGAGATCGTAGCTTTGTTGTCTATGTATAGCATTGGTGAATCGCTTTCTCTCCCGATGAGTTCTTCCATTAGTCGTGCAAGCCAGATCCCTTGAGTTGCTGCCATCGAAGCGGCGATGTATTCTGCTTCGCAGGAAGACAAAGCAACTACCTTCTGTTTTGTTGATTGCCAGCAGATCGCGCCGCCTGAGAGAAAGTAGATCATTCCGCTGGTGCTCTTACGATCATCAACGTCACCGGCCATGTCACTATCGCTGTAGCCGACCAGTTTGAGTTTCTCCTTTTCGCTCCCAGCGCAGTATCTTACGCCCCAGCCTCTGGTTCCGGCTACATAGCGCAGGATGCGCTTGACAGCCACTAGATGCTCCTCCCTAGGTGCTTCCATAAACCTGCTCACATATCCAACAGAATAAGCAAGATCAGGACGAGAGTTTACCAGATAGCGCAGACTCCCGACAATGCTGCGGTAATTGGTGGAGTCGACTGTCGTCGTAGTGCCGGCCTTCCTTAGTTGAAGTCGGGCCTCCATTGGCGTCCTGGTAGGATTACTGTCCACAAGCCCAGTTGTGTCCAGCAGCTTCCTCGCGTATGCACTTTGGCAGATGGAGATGCCGGAAGAGTTCTGTTGCACTTCGATGCCGAGGTAGTAGCTGAGCACACCGAGATCGCTCATCTCGAAGTTTTTCGACATCTCCTTCTTGAACCTTCCGAGGACTCCCACGTCGCCTCCAGTGATTATGAGGTCGTCGACGTACACTCCCACGATCAGTCGCTTTTTGCCGTGGCCGTACGTGTACATGCCATGCTCAGAGGCACAACGTTTGAAATTCAGTGACAGTAGGGTACTGTCGAGCTTCGCGTTCCAGGCTCGTGGGGCTTGTCGAAGCCCGTAGAGTGCTTTGTGCAGGCGCAGTACCTTATTAGGGTTGTCGTTATCCAGGAAGCCAGGTGGTTGTCGAACATAGACGGTCTCCTTCAACTCTCCGTTAAGGAAAGCAGACTTTACGTCCATATGGTGAACCTCCCAAGAGTGATGTGCTGCAATTGCCAGCAGGAAACGAACGGATTCTAACCTTGCTACTGGCGCAAATACCTCTTCGAAATCCACTCCTTGCTTCTGGACGTAGCCCTTCGCCACCAGACGAGCCTTGTGCTTCACAACTTCTCCTTTTTCGTTGCGCTTCAGTTTGAAGACCCATTTGAGCCCTATGGCTCGGTGTCCCGGTGGCATATCCTCCAGACTCCACGTCTGGTTCTCAGTGATGGATGTCATCTCCTCCTGCATTGCCTTCCGCCAGCACGGGTTCTTTTCTGCTTCGGCGAAGGTGTTTGGTTCATCTGCACTGACGGCATGTAGTTCGGCCACTTCCTCGAGCTCGCGCGCTGCTAGTCCAGGTGGTTCACCTCCTCCCACTAGGTCATCCATCCTCCGGTACCTAGCCTCCAGATCAGTATCGTGATCGGCATCCAGCGTCGAATCCGCAGTCCGTGGTGTTGCGAATTCCACTGGTTCAGGTGGTGCACCTGCTGGCGGCGGTGACGTCTCCTGATGCTGGGCTCCTCCTTCTTCAGGCTCGGTGACGAGGTACTCCACCGTGAATTGATTTGGATTACGGTCTGTCTCGATCACGTCATTCCACTGCCAGAAGGTGCTTTCGTCGAAGACGACGTCGCGAGACACGTGAGCTCGCCCCCCCACAGGATCATAGAGTCTGTACGCCTTGCTCCCGGGTTCGTAGCCGATGAAGACGACCTTCAGCCCCCCGGGATCGAGCTTGGCGAGATGAGGACGTGTTACCTTCATGTATGCGACGCAGCCGAACACGCGAAAATGATGTACTGTTGGTTTTTTGTTGTACCAGGCTTCATATGGCGTCTTCCCGTCGAGGCTTCGGGTTGGTGACCGATTGAGGAGATAAACAGCCGTCATTACTGCCTCTCCCCAGAATCTCCCAGGCATCCCGGCCGTCACCAACAATGACCTCGCTGTCCCGACAATGGTCTGATTTCGGCGCTCTACCACTCCGTTCTGTTGGGGGGAGTAGGGCGCCGTTAGGTGCCGTTGTATGCCGATCTCGTCGCAGTACTTATTGAAACTTGCCGAGGTGAATTCTCCGCCTCGGTCTGTGCGCAGCACTCGCATCTTCTTCTCACATTCGGCCTCCGCTCGCGCTTTAATGCGCTTAATCGCCTCTGCCGCCTCACTTTTCGCTTGCAGCAAAGTCAGCCACATGAAGCGGCTTTTGTCATCGACTAACAGGAGGAAGAGACTCTTACCGCCTGGGGTCGCCGGCTTGATGGGCCCGCAAATATCGCCGTGTACAAGCTCCAATGGCTCATCGGCTCGGTAGGCTGTTCGAGACGGAAAGGGTGTGCGCCTCTGTTTGCCGATGAGGCACCCGTCGCACAGCTTGTTCACGCCTTTGATTTCTGGCAAGCCGTGCACCAACTCCTTCTTCTGTAGCTTTTCTAGGGCAGGAAAGTTTAAGTGTCCGTACCTTGCGTGCCACCTCCAAGATACCTCTTCGGTCTTGGCCGAGAGGCTAACGGGTTGGTCTATCTCTAACTCCAGGATGTAAAGACGGTTTGTGGTGCGCCTTGCCTGCGTGAGCAGCCGTCGTTGATTATCGCAGATTTTCAGTAGTCCGCGCTCGATGGAAATGAAGCAGCCTGTCTCATCGAGCTGACCCAGGCTCACAAGGTTAGCCTTGAGCCTCGGGATGAAGTAGACGTCGGTCAGCTTGCGATGCTCGCCTCCCTTACTGACGAACAGGATGGTGCCGCGCCCTTCGATCTCGACGACGGAGCCGTCGCCGAATTTCACCGTCCCACGGATCCCCGAGTCGAGCTCGGAGAACGCAGATCTAGCCCCGGTCATATGGTTTGTTGCCCCTGTGTCAAGGATCCATTGCTGGTGCTCGTGTTGCTCGTCCCTTTCGCCGATCTGAGCGAACACTCGCTCCTCCTCCAGTTGAATTGGCTCCCCAGTTGGTGCCAGCTTTGCTACGCCCAACTGGAGCTCTTTCTTGGGTTCAACATCGTCGTCGGATTTGGAATCGAAATTGGGGACGCATGCGGTTACCATGAAGAGAGCTGGCTCGTCCTCCTCGGATTGAGCCACATGGGCCTGGGCCTTTTCGGCCTTCTCCTTATTCCTCAGCTTGCTCCAGCAATTTCTGCTCAGGTGTCCTCTCTTCCCACAGTTCGAGCATTGGATCGGCCTGCCATTGGTCGACTCCTTCTTTTGATTCCCATCTTTCCCGCGCGTGCGCCCGTGGGACATCCATGGCTTCTTACC